AGCCCGAATATTCATGAGTTAACCTCCCTATGGATGCCCAGTATTTTATATGGTACTCCGAGTTTATTTGATGATGGCACTTGACAACTTTCGGAGATATTAAGATAGAATACAAGATTGAGAAATTCATATTTTAAAGGAAATAATTGGGAACTTTTGAGATTTATAGATTTACTTCACTGTTGATGTGCACTTCATACATGTTATAGATTATTATATTATCTTCTTGGACCTCTAGTAAGTGTCGATATCGACCCCTCATCACTACTTCTCTGGGATTTACGTACTCATGCTGCACTTCTTCACCAAATGTGCAGGATCTGACAGGTTCACTGATGACCACCTTGGCGCGTAGGCGCACCTGTTTGGGAGACTTCATGTGAGTTGCATTCCAGGCTACGCATCGCAGTCCACCAAGTCTCTATTATAATTGGGAACTTTTGAGATATACAGATTTACTTCACTATTGATGTGCACTTCATACCTGTTATAGATTAATATATTATCTTCTTGGATCTCTAGTAAGTGTTGATGTCGACCCCTCGTCACTACTTCTCTGGGATTTACGTACTCATGCTTCACTTCTGCACCAAATGTGCAGGATCTGACAGGTTCACTGATGACCACCTTGGCGCGTAGGCACACCTGTTGGGGAGACTTCATGTGAGTTGCATTCCAAGCTACGCATCGCAGTACACCAAGTCTCCATTATAGTATTTATTTTATTCTGTCTTATTACATTCGAGACAGATGTTGTAATATTATTGGACTCTTTAGAAAATGCTCATGCACTTATGACACCAAGTTTTGGGGGTTCCTTCAGGTTATCCATTATTGATGTTCGTTTAAATATTTTTATTCACTCTGTAAATTCTATTTTATACTGTTCAATTAAGGAAAATTTTGATTTCAAGATACTAAAATGAGTAATTAATTTGGTGAATCACTGTTGGCTTGCCTGGCGGCGGCGTTAGGCGCCATCACGGCATATAGTGGATTTTGGGTCGTGATAGGCGTGCAGCCTGATCCCATAATAATAAAGCATATAAGGCCTGCTGCGGCGTATTGCCCGATCCATATAATAATAAAGTATATAAAGCCAATATGGTCTGCTGCGGCGTGCAGCCCGATCCCATAATTATCTTCACAATCACGCCCTCGACCTCACTCAGTCATCAATCTCTCCAGTCTCTCGGGCTTATAATGTCATGAAACTAGCCCAAAATGATGATATGATATATCAATAAATAACAACAGAGACTGAGATATGATATGCAATGAATGTATATGACTGAGTACGAAATTACAATTTAAACAAATAATTCAATAGAAACATGACCTCTGTGGGTCTCAGTAATACCGGCATATAGCCTCAACATGATTTTTAACATGATTCTCAGCTCGATTTCCTTAACACATGAAAGTGCATGGACAATGCCAAGATTATTTAACTACACAATTTCACTGAATCAATTACGTCACAGTTTCTACGGTGCACGCCTACACGCCCGTCACCTAGCATGTGCGTCACCCCCAAACAAATCATATAAGGCGTATTTTCGGGGTTTATACCCTCAGCTACAAGTTTATAAATGTTACTTACCTCAAATCGTGCAATTCTTTATTCTAATAGGCCTTTGCCTTGCGAATTGGCCTCCGAATGCTTCGTATCTAGTCACGACTTTAGTCGCTACAAATTCCACGAAAGTCGCCACTAAAGGTGTATAGTAGCGAGATTTGGGTTGCTGCAAGCACAACCGTTACTGAATATTTTTTGCGATGACTATCGAAAGTCGCCACAGAATCTACACATTAGTAATGACTTTTGTCGCCACAAATTGTAAATAAATATGCTACAAAAAAGTTTCACAAAATTGATTTTTGGGCTGGTCGCCACTAATGTGTTTTTCAGTGGCAACAATTATCGCTACAAATACTATTGTAGCTTCAGCAGCAGCTCTACTCGCCATAAATGCATGAGCTTTAACTGCGACTTTAGTTGCCACAAATTTTATTTGTTCTTGTGACAAAGTTTAGTCGCCACTAAAACAGATTTTTTCTCCATGGCCAGTATACTAATACATTCCCACTGTTAACCTAATTTTCATAAATTAGTTACATCTATAATTTCCTCTAACCCATTAACATACCAATAGCACTACTAGAAATTCGGCAAAAACCGATCACGCTCAACCGACCAATTTTGGTCGGTCAAAAAACCGGCCAAAAAACCGACTAAAGTTGGTCGGTTTTTCAAAATATTTTATTTTTTTGGTTTTTTTTTACGAAACCGACCAACATTGGTCGGTTTTCTTTGGCGCAAAAAAGCGGGAAACTATTTTTGAGTCCTGTGAAATTTATTTTTCAAGAAACCGACCAACTTTGGTCAGTTTTTCATTTAAAATAAATTAAAATTAATATAAAAAAAACCGACCGAAATCGGTCGGTTAATTCCGCCTTTCATTTTAAAAAACCGACCGAATTCGATCGGTAATTTTATTTTTTAATAAAACCGACCAACTTTGGTCGGTTATTTTCGTGCGAAAATACAATTAAAGAGTATAAATGAAATAAAAGACAGTCTTAAAATAAAATGCACCAATGGTCTAGTGGTAGAATAGTATCCTGCCATAGTACAGACCCCTGATCGATTCCCAGATGGTGCATTTGTTAATTATATAATTAAAATACCGACAAACTTTGGTGCTAAAAAAAACGACCAATTTTGGTCGTTTTTTCGGCAATTGTTTTTTTTTTAAAATTTAATTGACCGGCCAAAGTTGGTCGGTAATTTCCGACCAACTTTGGTCGGTATGCCCTTCCGACCTTTAAAATACCGTCCACGTATAAATAGTCGCGTTTTGGACGGTTATTGGCCATTACCGACCCACTTTAGTTGGTTCTTTTGGACGGTTTTGCCCGAATTTTTAGTAGTGTAGATAACTAAAAAACAAACAATCAATTATCAAATAGAATTGCATGAACTTTTTGTTTCTAAAAAGTCTAATACAAATAAGTTATCCAATACTTCACATTACATTTTTATTGTATATACATAGAATACTAAAAAAATACAAAATGCCTTCAAACTACTCTGTCTTCAAACTCATCCTAGTCCTTGTCCACCTTCAATGTCAGTTGATGAAGTACCTTGCCATCGACAAATAAAAATCACCGGTAAGCAATATGTTATATATAATTTCACTATCCTTACAAATGGTATATAAACTATGATCGTTACCATATATAAGCGGTCTATAAAGCACACGTGGAGAGCAATTGCTAATTCACACCAACTCTCTTAGCTTCATGCTATGTATCCTTCAAAATATTCGTAATCTCCCTCAAGTTTCTGTACTGAAAGAGCCAAGAAGTACGAATTATAAACAACCACCCAATGGGATCCCACAAAAAAGTAGGAATTATGATTTGCCAAATATTTGATAATTCAACTAAAACATTAGAATACATATTGGGATATGCATTACGTGGATCAATACTCCGGATAACACCATCAATTTTATTCAACAAATTAAACTTACTTCAAAATAGAATATTTTGCAATTGAGCCTAAAATAGCTAAGAATATACATCTTTTTTCTTGCTAATTATGTAGACATTTGCTATGTTGGATAAAAATAACCTAGTTGTTCAAAAATAAAAGGAGCATGGGTGACAAAATAAAATCTGAAACAAGTTCACAGATCATGTTAACTCTAGATTACCACACTAAGTATGGCAAATAAATCAAAAAATATTATAAGAATCTAAAAAGTATGAAAAGTTAACTACCTATATCTGAACATGCATTTGTTGACTTTTGAGTACGTTCTTCCCCACTTCACTGGTGCATGTTATACTATTTACAAGTAACATGTAGGTAGATAAGCCATAGTATTTGTTCTTTAGCGGCATTCTTCCAAAGCAATAAGCAATTCTCACAAGAAGATAAGCAATTTAGAGACGACACTTAGAATTGATTAGTGTTCACTTGAGAACTTAATGATTGGATAATAACTTTTTCATACTTGAGAACTAATTAAAGAAGATAAGGTTCTAATCAGTATAGGACCTGAATTTGTTCTTGTTCAGTAACTAAACTTTTATTACCTCGGTTACTGCTGTAGTTTGTCGAGATGCGAGGTTCACAAAATCAAAAGCTAGTACAAGGGAGCATAATTTAAAAAATGCAGGAGTTTTACACCAAAGTGCTTTATTATTTCTGCAGGTTGAACTAGAAAATTCACAATAGAATTCAGGAATAGAAGTGATTTGCTATGATAGTGGTAGTTTAGGTGTAGCTACAGAAATCAATGAGGCTTTTATTGTACACTTAATTTTCTTGAATTCGTACAAATTTATTTGAATAAGTCATATAAACTAATCAGAAATTACACGTTTTCAGGGTGACTTCCAAGCATTGGTAGGTGAAAGTATCTAAAGTATTTGTCCATCCTTCATCTAGAGCTGATAGAAACATGTGCATGAATATAGAGGCTATGATAAAATTTATATAATACCGAGTACATGGATCATTACTAAAACATGAACACAAATATAGATACAATTAGATCAATCGCTTTTAAGAATTAACGAGAGAAGCAACTTAAGTAATCCAAAAATTCTTTAAAAGGTAAAGATATCAAGAGCATATTGTACCTTGACACACTTCAGTCATATTATTACATCTGCCATGTTTACTGCTACAATACTTATTAAGTATATGATAATGTTGATATCGATGCATATATTGAGACTAATGCGTTGTTTACAGCTAGGGGTCACATCACATTGATATCAATATCTAAGAACTAGAGATCTCTAATGCACATATTGAGATTAGTACACTTTGCACTAGTTATATATTAAACTTTTCTCTTTAACATTCTAAAGCATGTTTAATTTCTCAACATAGTTTTTGTTCGAGTATCAGGCAACTATAATCTACTTTGGAGATAGTATATGTATTACAACTGATATATTTAAAGAAATACTAGATCTGTAGCCTCTGCAACTGGTATTCTTGTTATGAAAACTTGTCACGACCCAAAAATCACTAGTCGTGATGGAACCTAACTCGACCCGCTAGGTAAGCTAACTAACAAACAATACAATCCAAATGAAATTATAGAAAAATAGTGAAGAATTATCTGGACATTTACAAATTAACCCAAGAACTGATAGTATAAATCATGAGCTTCTAAGACTTAGAATTTACAAAGCTGATACAAATAATTACACGATCTGTTTGAACGCTACATAAACAGATTAACGAAATCTAAAGCCTCCAAGGACAGGTGACAGTTATATCCGGAATGTACGAACATCTTCAGGGTCAGCTCCCGACATAACCAGCAGCTCCGCTCCAAAAGTCTGCATGCAATGTGCAGAAGTGTAGTATGAGTATAACCGACCCCATATACCCAGTAAGTATTTTGTCTAACCTCGTCGAAGTAGTGACGAGGCTTTTTAGTAAAAAGATGCTCACTAATAAAAATCTGTACTGAAATCTAGCAATAGAACTATGCTACAATATAACAGGATAGAGTACACGAAACAAATGTACAAAACAATAATAAAGTACTAGAAGAGATCACAATTCAGTAGTTTCCAATATCTCAACCAATCTTTTCCTTAGAGGGAAACCAATAAACCACAAGAGTCACCCCATAACTTTCATAACGTGAGGAATATACTCTGATATCAAGTCAATTGCACGGCAACACACTTCGTGCATTTATCTCATCCTCACTAAATATGCATACAACAGTACCAACCGGATGGCAGAAATGCCGATAACAGTAATGACAAAGTAGGAAATACCCAAGTAGCAATAATGAACGAGAATGTACAAATGGGCATCAGTAACAGACTAGGCGGAAAGCATAGAGGTGATGACAACAATCAGGAAAAGGAATGTAACTTCAACTAACTAGCATGGTGGAGGCATAAATACAATATAACGAATAAGAGGGGAACACATGATCTTTATGCGTTAACAAGTAGAAGCATGAATGACTAACACGGTAGAAGGCATGTACTAAGTGCAACCAAAATACATACTACAAAGATATAATTATGACAGCAGGAAGTAGGCATGGTATTTGCAAGTTTAGCAAGTAGAAGGCATGAGTGACACAATAACAAATAAGATAAAGAACAAGAACAGGGCATTAACGAAAAGTCACATAAGAACCATAAATACAATAATAACAGCTCAACGTAACGGCAGGAACGTATACACAAAGGAAAGATATCATAACATAATGCATGTCCCTCGTCCTCACCTGCATGAAAACACCCATCATGAACTCATGATAATTTAAAGCATGATAATATAAATGAAATGGCACGACATCACCCTTCGTGTTTTACACTCACATAACATGGCACGGCATCACCCTTTGTGCTTTTACTCACAAATGAAATGGCACGGCATCACCCTTCGTGCTTTTACTCTCAATAATATGGCACGGCATCACCCTTCATGCTTTTACTCTCAATAATATGGCACGGCATCACCCTTCGTGTTTTACACTCTCCCTCACATGATAATGTATAAACAAAGGCACGACATCACCCTTCGTGTTTTACACTCTTCCTTACCAAGCATATGTATATCAATGACAAACAAGGCAGGAAGCATAAATAACGTCAATGAGAGTGTTTAAACAAATATTCCAAATGAATCCCAATCACAACTTTCCAAGCCAACAATAGTTCAATAAACCCGCAAGAACATTATTATTCAAGTATTCCAACAAATCCCACAAATGATCTACAACACAAGTATAGAATCTAGTCTCTCAAAAATATCGGCCATAGCAATGTATTAATGATTATGCATATTGATGACCGAATTAAACACACCAATGTATTCTCAGAATTCCATCAAATTTGATCAAGTTGTAATAAGCTAAGTCTTAGTTTCTAACATTTAATACTATGTTCTTAGTATCTAGGAGTCAACTAAGGCATGAGGCAAGAAGGTCACGTGATTCTATAAGACACAATTTATAACATAATTTACCCCCCCAGCATGGTTAACCCTGTCACATGCATATATTCTCGTCACCTCATATATGTATCACCCCCGCATGTAGCAAACAATGTCAAATAGTAGGAAAAATTCCCTCAACAAAGTTAGGCAAGACACTTACCTCAATTTGGCTAACTCAACACTCAATTTAGCTTTTATTTTTACAAATTCACCTCCGCCCGGCTCAATCTAGCCAAAGACGACTTAAATACACCACACAATGCAAGGGAAAACAATTTCAATTAATAAAGTTGTAATTTTTATATAATTTCTAAAAAGTCAACAAAAATTAACCATCGGGCCCGCCCGATCAAAACCCGGGTTCAAGGGTAGGTCTTGACTACCCATAGCCTCACGAGTCCAAATACGTATTTTGTTTCCAAATCCGAGTCCTATTCGACTCTCGAATCCTAAATTTTCATTTTTTAAAGTTTTGACAAAATCCCCAAATTTTTCCCTAGATTCTCGTGAATTTGATGTTAAATCTTATGTAAAATCATGAAATGTAGTTGAGAATTGATTAGAGGTACTTACCCAATGATTTGGTATGAAAATCCCTTCACAAAATCGCCTCCCATCGAAGCTAGGGTTCAAAATATAACAAAATGAAACTAAGTCTCGGAATTCTCAGCATTTAGCAAGCTGCAGATGTCGCATTTGCGACAAATGGTTCGCAAATGCAGACAAAACATCGCAAATGCGACCCCTGACAGACCAGGCCTTCATCGCAAATGCGATGCAGAGTTCGCAAATGCAAAACTCTTCAGACTTCGCAAAAGCGATAACTTCATCGCAAATGCGATCCAGTCCCCAGCAGCCTAGGTTCGCAAATGCGAACAACACTACCTCGCAAATGCGGTAGTCGCATTTGCGATGTTTCCAAAACATCGCAAATGCGATGAAACCAGAACAACACTCAAGGTTCTTACCAAAACACTCCGAAGCTAATCTGAAACTCACCCGAGCCCCCGAGGCTCCAAACCAAACACCCACACAAGTCTAAAAATATAACACGAACTCACTCGAGTGATCAAAACATCAAAATAACCTCTAGAATCATGAATCGAACGCCAAAACGCATGAAGATCAAAGTAAACTTCAAGAACCTCTAGAATCGTAACCGAGCGTCCGAACTATATCAAATCAGCTCCAAATGGCGCCAATTTTGCAGACAAGTTCTATATGACGAAACGAACCTACTTGAGGCTTCAAATCACGCATAACAACCTCGAAACGACGAGTCGCACCTCAAGTAAAAATCAATGAACTTTGAAACTTCAACTTTTACAACCGATGCCGAAACCTATCAAAACACGTCTAATTAACCTCGAATTTTGCACACACGTCACATTTGACATTACGGACCTACTCCAACTTCCGGAATCGAAATCCGACCCCGATATAAAAAGTCCACTCCCGGCCAAACTTCCCAAAAAAATCCAACTTCCGTCATTTCAAGACTAATTCGACTACAGACCTCTAAATTATAATCTGGACGCGCTCCTAAGTCCAAAATCATCCAACGGAGCTAACGGAACTAACGAAACTCCATTCCGAGATCCAATGCTAAAAGGTCAAACTTGGTCAACTCTTCCAACTTAGAGCTTAAATCTTGAAGTTCATTCTTCCAAATCGATTCCGGATAACTTGGAAACCAACACCGACGATTTACGCAAATCATAATACATCATGCGGAGAAACTCGAGCCCTCAAACTACCGAGAAAAAGTACAAATGCTCAAAACGACCAGTCGGGTCGTTACAAAACTTTAAGACTCCACCAAAAGGAACAAAGTGATCAAAAAATTTATCATTTGTTCATATGGTTCAAGAATTTCAATTACAACCAGATTGTAATATAAGAATTACATTATATGTTTTTAAAGAAGTGCTAAAATTAACTGATGAAAAGTTGGGATCGAATGCTAACGAGGTTCTTTTTCTTTTCAACGTATTCTTTAGTAGTATCCCAAATATCATCCTAGTAAATCAAATTACAGTTCCTCCTTCTCTCAAATGATTATTATTTCTCTACTCAAGTTAATACTAAATCATACGTTCAAGAATCAAAACTTTATTGCAATATAGCCAATTACCCAACCTTTTCAACCCGTCATATATGTCCTTGTGACCACATAAGAAACTATCTACGGAACACAAGCCACAAAACAAAGGACCACACTTGTTACCAATTAAAAACAAAAAACAAAAGCCACAAACAAAAACAAAATTAGATTGATCTAAGAAGAAAAATCAAGAAGTTACTTTTTAAAGTATCTACAGTTCGGAAGAGAACAACAAATATAATATGTAATTAACAGAAAAGAAAATAAATTAGAATCACATTTAATTGAGTTCCAAATTTAAAGGGGAAAAAACGAAAAATATATAAACTGAAACATCATAATAATTCGTAAAAATGAATGATCCACTTTTACCTTGAATTTGGCTCCAAATGCCTGATAATCGAATTTCTTCTAGGTAAAATATGTGTAAACAAGAGTCCCAAGACCCTAAGAAGGATCAACGAATTCTCTTCTTTACAGAGAAAGAAATCACATCCGTCATAAAAATCTTCCAAACACAACGGCACACAGAATAGTCCCCAACTTCTTCCAAAATTTCATGGTATGGTCACAACTTTCAACTCTAAGTCCTTTAACAGCCACGGGTGAGAGCTGAACGGCGATTAGATCTAACAGTAGTGAAGGTTTGGGAAGAGCAGAAGAAGGGATTTAAGAAACATTTTTGCATCGGCTAGGGTTTTGGGAGAAAGGGGAAGGGATTTGGGGAAACAAGGGAAATAAAGGAAACACTGGCAGCATATTCTCTTTCTTAAGTTTAAGCGATATAATCCAAAAACATAAAAAAGATTAGTAATATAACTAGTAGCGACTTTGTCGCTACAAATACAATTTTGTGGCAAGTATTTAAAGGTCGCTACAAATTATTCTACAGGAAAGTTTCAAAATAAAAACTTAGTAACTACTAGGGGCGACCTCGGTAAAGTCGCCACTAAAACCAGCTTTTTGAGGCGATAATGTAGGTCGCTACTAAATTTATATTATTTTAGTAGCGACATGTTTTAGTCGCCACTAAAACTAGTATTATTGTGGCAACAAGAACCGTCGCCACTAAAGATCGTCACTAAAAACCTAATTTCTTGTAGTGGATGTAGGAATCAATTCAATATGAAAATGCTAAATTTTCCAACAAAAATTCGAAATTCAACTCAAAAATCAACAGTGGGGCCCACATCTCGGAACCCGAAGAAACTTATAAAATCTGACAATCCATTCAATTACGAGTCCAACCATACTAATTTGATTCAAATCCGACTCCAAATCAGTGTTCAAAACTCGAAAATTTATTTTATGGAATTGTAGAAAATTTCTCCGATTTTTCTTGAAAAATCAATAATCTAACGCCAAAAACGAAGATTAATTCATGAAATATAATCACAAGGAAGTCAAGAACACTTACCCCAAGTTTTGTGGTGAAATTTGCCTCTTAAAATCGCCCAAATCGAGCTCCCCAACTTTGTTTATGTCAAAAATGGTGAAATCCTCCGTTATAGGGATTAATGTTTGAGCGCCACAGGTAGCGTGGGGCGCTACCTGTGGCCCAGTTTCCAGAGCCTCAAAAATTCCAGCGCCACACGCTGCCCTTGGCGCTGGTGATAAGAAATCTTTTCTATTTCGCCCGGAAATTAGCATAACTCTCTTGTACAATGTTCGCATTCGATGATTCTTTTTGCTATGGTTCCGTAATTTTAATACGGGTCTAATGCTTCAATCAACACTGAATTTGGAACTCATTTGCTTAATGTGATATAACTTATGCTTGAAGAAACGACGTCGAAACGATGAATTGCACCTCAATCCAAACTTAATGAACTTTAAATCTTTCAACTTCCAAATTTCGCGCCGAAATATATAAAATCAATCCAGAATGAGCTCAAATTTTGCGTACAAGTCATAAATGACATAACGAAGCTACTAAAATTTCTGGAATCACAATCTGGATTCGATATCATAAAAGTCAAGTTTCGGTCAAACTTCCAAACCTTCAATTTCTTATTTTCGCCATTTCAAGCCAAATTCAACTACGGACTTCAAAATAAATATCCAGACATACTCCTAAGTTCAGAATCACCATACAGAGTTATCGAAACCATCAAATTCCATTCCAGAGTCGTTTGCACAAAAGTCAAACTCCGGTCAACCCTTTGCCTTTAAGCTTCTAAACAAGGATTGTTCTTTCAATTTAATCCTGAATCATCCGAAAACCAAAGCCGACAATATACACTGGTCATAATACATCATATGAAGCTACTCAAGATTTTAAATAGTTTAAAGGAGCGTAAATATTCAAAACGACAAGCCGGACTGTTACAGTAGAGAGAAGCTCGCTTCTCACTCTAACATTTTTTACCTCTTGTCATCCTTTTGTGTTAAGGCTTTTACAGTCAACCCTCTCTATAATAACCTCGTTTGTTCCGATATATTTTGGCTTTTATAGTGAATGGCTGTTAAACACAGCATTTGACGGTTAAATATTTTTTTAGTTGTTATAGATAAAATTATCCAAAAATAGATTTTTTCTTTTTAATATTACATATAAAAGATAAAAAATTTATTCAAATTTAAAATCTCAAAAGATATGCATTTTTCACTAGTTAAATATTGAAGAAAGCTAATATGTTATTAGTAAATTCACAACTAAACATATAAAGATTTAAACTCCAAGGCAGACATTTTAAAACTACCTAGCAAAAATAAATTCTTTCAAGAGTGATGTAAGTACGTTGTAATTGTAGCTTGTTTCGTAGATTTCATTCTCTTACTAGCAATATAACGCTTGAATTGGCGAAGATTTGTGTCCAAATTTTTAGCAAAAAGGTATTCAATAGTTTTTCCTTGAAGACAATCTAAGAGCTTAATAGTTAAATATTCTATCCACATATATTTTGGAATTTGTCCAATGGAAAAGTTATCATGTGCAAATCTTCAAATCTTATATTTTATGCAAGATAGAAACATTATTTAACGGAAAAGATTGTACATATTTTTAGAGTTATTATTAGTAATCTTAAAGAATATATATGGAAGGGTAATTTTACAAAGAATGTTCTGCTATAAATATGGTTGTTGATGTTACAGGTAAAAAAACTGTTATAGAGAGGTAAAATATAACTTAAAAATTAGTTTTGAGAAAAACTTAGCTTTTATAGTGAATGAATGTTATATATAGATCTGTTATAGAGAGGTTTGATAGAAAAAACGACATTTATGAAGTGATTTATCTTTCAACTAAGTAATCTCGTTAAATAAAAGGTCACGTAAGAGAAAGTACATTTACAAGTCGTCGTCCAGCAGCTTTTTTTTTCTTCTTCTTTGAGAATATTGCAATTGTCAAACACGAAGAAACCTAAATTCCTCACAATTATACCAACACTTGCAGATTAATCAAGCTATGACGAATAAACTTTGCTTTAGCTATGGAGTTTATCACATCTATCTTCCTTTTCCTTGTCCTATTTTCTGAAGAAGCTAATAAGACGATGGCTCCGTGTAACGACCTGACTTGTCGTTTTAAAAATTTACGCCCCGTTCAATGACTTAAGGTCTCGAGCAGTTTCGCAATATGTATTATGACCTACGGGTGTGGTCGAGTTTGATTTACTAAAGATTCAGAATTAAATTAAACGAACAATCCTTAATTTGAAGCTTAAATAGAAAGAGTTGACCGGAGAGTTGACTTTTGAGAAAACGACTCCGGAATAGAATTTTGATGATGTCAATAGCTCTGTAGGTTATTTTGGACTTAGCGACGTGTCGGAAATATTATTTGGAGGTCTGTAGTGGAATTAAGCTTGAAATGCCGAAAGTTAAATTTTTGGGAAGTTTGACCGGGGGTTGACTTTTTGATATCGAGGTCGGAATCCGATTCTGGAAATTTGAATAGGTCTGTTATGTCATTTATGACTTGTGTGCAAAAATTGAAGTCATTCCGGATTGATTTGATATGTTTCGGCACAAGATATAGAATTTGAAAGTTCAAAGTTCATAAATTTTGATTTGAGGTGCGATTCGTCGTTTTGATATTGTTTGATATGATTTGAGGCCTCGAGTAGGTCCATGTTATGTTATGAAATTTTTTGGTATGTTTGGACGGGGTCCTGAGGGCCTCGGGTGAGGTTCGGATGCTTAACGGATCGAATTTGGATTTGGAGGAGGAGCTGAAGCAGCTGGGTTGCTGGTGTGATCGCACCTGCACGAAAAAGGACTCGCGGATGCGAGAAATGAGTCGCGAAAGCGGAAAATTCATGGGCTGGCCAGGCACCGCGGGTGCAAAAAATTTGCCGCGGGTGCGAAACCTTTACCGCAAGTGCGAAGCCGCAGGTGCGAAGAAATCACCGCGGATGCGAAAACCCCTAGGCAATACAAAATCAGAGAGGTTCCGAGTTTTTGCCATTTTTGGGCATTTCAAGCTCGGGTTGGGTGATTTTTGAGCAAGGTCTTCACGGGAAAACTTGAGGTAAGTCCCTTGTGATCATTTCTACTCCATAATATTGAATTATCATCGAATAATCCGATTAGATTACATGTTTTTGAGGTGTAAATCGGGGGTTTGAACTTAGGGATTTGAAAACAAAAAATTTAGATTTGGAGGTCGAGTTGTTATTGGAATTCGATAAAATTGGTATGGTTGAACTCGTATCGGAATGGGTATTCGGATTTCATGAAAGTTTTGTCAGGTTCCGAGGGGCGGGCCCCCGCGTTGACTTTTGTTGACTTTTTAGAATAAAATTTTATGTCTACTCATTATTATCCGAAATTGTTTCCGATGAATTTTAATGAAGTTATACAAATAATTTGGATAGATTTGAGCTGTCCGGAGGTCAATTCAAGCAAGAAGGCTATTTTGGAATATCGTCCTAACTTCAAAAAGGTAAGTGTCTTGCTTAACCTCGAGTGGGAGAATTACCCCTTAGACATTGAGTCTTATGTGCCATTTGTGAAATGTGAAAAGCTGTGTACGCGAGGTGACGAGTACGTACTCGGGATTATACGTGCAAAAATTCATTGAATTAAAGTCTTAGGCATTTTTGTGTAGTAAATTGGGAAATTATGGAAAATTATTAAATCGTATGTTTGTCATGCCTAAATCCTTATTGTTGAATTTGTTTTTATATGATAATTTGATGTGATTGTTACTTGAAATATTTATGAAATTTCGTGAGTATTGTTGGTTTAATATTTCTTGGAAATTAATTCCAATATGAATTTTCCTCTGCAAATAATTAATTAAATGAGCTTAAGAAGAGATGTTTATATAATTATTGAAAATTTGAATTTAATGAAGAATTTGTTTTATGTTGAGTAATTTCTATCTCCATTGATCGTTTTTGGGTGTTATATACATTGTGTGGAGCCTTGGATTATTTGTTGTGAAATTAATTGATTTTGTCATATCTTTGGAATTTGGTTGTGGCCATTGGGCAAATTGTGATATGAATTGATTTTATTATGTTGTTGTGATAATTTTCCATGTAAATTGTTGTGTTGTGTGAGTTGTTATTTTGGGGAGATAAGGGTGGCATTTCACCGTTGATATTATGTGATTATAAGGGTGGCATTTTGCTGTTGTGTTTGTTAGAATATTGTCTGGGCGGAGCGATAAGGGTGGCTATAGAAGCGTTAAGGGTGGCAATAATAGCGATAAGGGTGGCTATTGGTATTGTCTGGGCGGAGAGATAAGGGTGGCTATAGGAGCGATAAGGGTGGAAATAGGAGCGATAAGGGTGACTATTGTCAGGGACGATATGTGATGATGTAGGGTTGTGGTGT